CAGCTATTCAGAAGACATACCTAAAGGGAGGGGTTCGCGATTCCAAACAGAGAGCAAGACCGAATATGGGGAGAAAGAGACATAACGAAGCTAGAGAGAGAAAGAGCTGCGGTATGAGAAAGAGAGCAAAGACAAAGACAGAGAGTTGTGCTACAGAGAGAGAGAGCCAAGAGAGAGAGAGCTGCGATAGACCTATAGCAAAGAGAAACAGAGCTGTGCCACAGAGAGAGAGAGAGAGCGAGAGAGAGAGAGACAGAGAGAGAGAGAGAGCTGAGAGAGACCCAAAGTTATGAACTTGTGATAAATCAGCAATAAGTGGCCAATAATGTTATATTTATAGGTGATAGTTTTACAAAAATTGGGAATGGGTGGTATTTTTAGTTAATATTAACAAAGGGGTGGTAGTGAGGGTCATTTCCCAAAAATAAATTTGGGTTTATTCAATTGAGATTTCAAAGAAGTTTAAAAGCCTGGGTGTATTCAACCATAATTTTATAAAAGTTTATATGTGCGTTTACACTCATTTAAAAGAATATAAACCGTTAAATTAATCTAATGAATTTTAATAAGTCCGCATCATCATAATTGCTTTGTGTTTTTCCAAAGTCTCCCTTAAATTTTTCGTTCAAAAAGTCAATCAACTCTATATTAATCGCTCTATTGATCCTACTATTACATTATGTCAATCAACTCAAATGTAAGGGTAAAACCGTCCATAACCGTCCTATGTTCCCCAAATATGTGATAAAATGGAGATAAAGTGGTGATATATATGTGATAAAGTGGTGATAAATAGGTGATACATATGTCAAAAGTCTTATTTATCCCCACAATGTAGCATGTGCTGCTCACATGACTAAATTTAACAAAAAAATATAACGGTATGACCAAAGCGCCGATTAGTAAAGAGTTTGTGGACCATTTGAACGAATAATTTAGTTTATGAACCAAAATGTAAATCGGATATAAATTTGAGGATAATTTAGTTTAGGGACCATTTGAGGAATTTACAATGTTACCGTTAAATATAAGGATAAAACAGTTTAATTAAATAAAATACTAAATAAATTAAACTAAAATTATAGAATTAAATTATATGTAAAAACTCTCCCCACCTCCTTCTTCTTCAACATTTTTTTGTTTGAATTTGTGCATTTGGACCTCATGATATTGTCCATTGAAACCAATAATTTTTTTGGATAAATTTCTCAAATAGTCCTCAAACTTGTACTCGATTTACATTTTGGTCCCTCAATTAAATTATTCGTTCAAATGGTCCATTAACCATATATTAATCGCCCCACCTCCTTCTTCTTCAACATTTTTTTGTTTGAATTGGTGCATTTGGACGTCATGATATTGTTCATTGAAACCAATAATTTTTTTGGATAAATTTATCAAATGGTCCTCAAACTTGTACTCGATTTACATTTTGGTCCCTCAATTAAATTATTCGTTCAAATGGTCCATTAACCATATATTAATCGCTCCATTGGTCCTATAGTTACATTCTGTCAATGTTGCTATTAAATATGAGGGCAAATTGGTCATTTCGTACGTTAAAAATAAATCAATATTGAAAAATGAAATAAAAACTCTCTCTCTCTCTCTCTCTCTCTCTCATGGCCACCACCCTCAAGATCCAACCCCAAAACTCATCCCACAGCCACTCTCCACCCAAAGCCATCCAACAACAACCCTCCACTCCAGGCCCATGAACCCGAAGCCCTAGCTCTTCCCCACCTTCCACCTAAGTTTAAGGACCATTTGAGTAAATAATCATTTTTAAGTATATAAATACAAGGTATATTGAGATAGGGAGATTCGAATACATAGTTTACTGTTCTTAACCAATGTCAATTAAGTTTTAAGTTAATTTGCAATAAAAAAATTTTCCTTGTTATTTCTTTTTGGCTTGATGTTTGAAGAGATAGTAGAATGGATGTTTCTTTTTTTCTTTTTCCTCATAATTAAAATTGAGTTGAGAATCTCAAAATCTAAATTGCCAAATTCATGTTGGGGTCGTACGTTAGTCTTGTAGGTTGCACCACCAATACTATTCTCAATTAAACCACAATAAACGTGGTGAAGTTTTTTTTGTTTTTTTTGTTTTTGTTTTTGTTTGTGGGGTCTATTTATATAATATGAAAAATAAAAAAAATTTAGAACCGTTAAAAAAAGTCTATTTGTTAGAGCTCAATTCACAATAGAACCAAATTATTTGAAATGTTCTTTTTTTTAAAGGATTATGGCACCAAGCAAAATCAACCAAATCGAAAATCAGTTGCCTTCTTGATTATCATTCATAAGATGATGGAGAGTTGTATGGCAAAAGTGACAAGTACAATAGACTTGTCCAACAAAACCCAATTTGATCCAACTTCGAAATCAATCTCAATTCAAATTCATAGAAGTAGACACAAAGAAAATTAGCGAAATTCATAAAACTAAACTGAGAAATTATCGTGTGTATCTGAATCCTGCCTTTATATCTGAAAAGATACGCCCCACCTTCAAATGAAAACTTTCCCAAGAAATGCCCTCAAACACATTGGACAATATTCACCATTTAAAAGAAAATGACACCTGAGAAGCCAAATCGTTTCTTTCATTTCTTGGGGGCTTAAGCCCCAAAGTGTACAATGGATGCGGGTAACAAAGAACTGCCGAAAAACGAAAAAAAAAAGATAAAAACACGGTTACAATTTCTTACGTCTGTATACCACTTGTAATCCCCTCTTTCGGTATCCACCAAATACCCCCCTACAATATAAAGATCTAAACCAGTAACAGTAACGAGGGACTTTATTGTCATGTTTCAAAGAACTGATAATCAGATATGTCAATCAATGGGAAGGCCTCTTAGTACAAGATCATATTTCTTCTATTAAAAAAGAATGGACTGTAAAATTGACTCAAAAAAATATACAAATTACGCCCTTCATTACGCCAAGGGAGTGAAGGAAAGCAAAACCGGATTGGAGCATGAGGATTGTTGAGAAGCTATACTGACTTGAATCTCACAGAAGCTTACTAGTTCTTCGTCTTGATGGCCCTCCAGGAAAAAGCTTCATAATCCATCCCAAGACTCTTTCCACTACCTACACGTGAGAATAATAGAGAAAGATGATATTTCTATATATTCCACTCCATGATTGCAGAAACTACAATTAACATTCCAAGAAACATTATTTGCACTCTGGCTTAATTAACAGCTTGGACCAGAAAATACATTTCTAATTAGAGACAAAATAAAGTATTAAAGGAACCAAAAGAACTAATTGGTAATTTTGGGGAATGATGTACCTGAGCAGCCAACTATAAATAAAATTATATGAACAGAAAACACAGTACCTCATCGCCTTCATCTGCATATGGAGTATTGTCGGGAATATCAACAGGACTAGGTTGTCTAACAATAATATTCTCGTTAGCCATACTTTGGGCAGTTAAGAGCTCCAATCTCTGAGTTTGAGCTTCAAGTTTCTGGGACAATTCATTGTTCAGCTCCTTCATTCATGAAAATCAATACGGTCAACATTGTAATTATGATCTGTGGACTAACAAAACAATTATGAGCCAGACACAAATCCATATATCAAAACTGAATCAATGCTACTATTAACGATGTAACTTCAAACCACATTATCCACTAGAGTATGACCCATTGATGGTAGTGATGTCACTCTCGGTAACAAGAGAGAAGTCAATTCCATGCGTAACGACTTTCACCAAACTTACAACAAAATCAAACTAAGTACAGAGGCCGCCAGACCAAGAGTCAAGGTCAAAACCCATCTGATAAATAGGAAATGTAGTCTGCTAAGATGACAAAAGCATTCCCATTGGAATGTATTTTGTGCTTGAACTAAGCTTGTTCCATTGGATCAAAAACCAAGTAAAACAAAAACAATACTAGCTTGTTCCCAATCCAAGTCCACAAGTTCGAAGTAACATAAGAAATGCATAGGCCTCTTTCAGTCACAATATTTCATAACCCTTAAATATATGTATCAATCCTGAAGAAAGCTTCCTTCTTCCTTAAAGTAGACCAGATACTAACAAGTCAAAAGCAGGAGCAGACTACTACATTGAGTTGAAAATTTAGAATTATGCTACCTTCAACTTGGAACAATTAGATGACTCGGATGCCAAAGATTGTATTAACTCTTCTTTCTCCAATGCTAACTGAAACAAGAAAGCTTCAATAGTTATTATCTTTGCATGCTAGTAAATCATTTAAACTGCAACCACTTGTTTTCTCCTTTTCTATTTTTTAATATTTTGAATGTATAAAGTTTCTATTCAAAATAATAATAATAATAATAATTTAAACTGCAACAAGAAAGCTCCAGTAGGACTTTTTTTTGCCATCTCACTTTATCTAGTTCAACTAGTAAATCATATAAGGTGGGAGAGAGTTTTTTTTTTTTTTTTGGGGGGGGGGGGGGGGGGGGGGGGGAGAGAGTAACTCAAGTTTTTGCAATGCTTAGGCGCCAAAACTTTGAGAGTTGATATAAAAATGAGAAGTGCTCACGCACCAGGTGTTAAATTATCAGTTTGATAGGAAGAAGAAGAACTAAAACTTACTTTCAATTTAATGAGCTAGATTTAACAAGACCACTGAAACATCAAAAGTTAACCACTGAGAAAATATAAGGGGTAGATGGTACCTCAGAAATTAGTGTATGGATGTTTTCAATTGTTTGCATCTGGTCATGAGGTAGATTCACAGATGAAACATCAAAAGTCAGCTGTCCACTTGCAGGCAGAATCGGGAAACTTGAGGCATCATCCCTTTCCTGGCCTAAGGTGTCAGGAATAGCATCTTCATTTGCTTCAATTATTAAATTTTAAAAAAAACCAACGAAGAAATTAGTCACCATAAATACATTCATTCATCAGCAAAAATCTTATTGGTGAATATTTTTATCTATGCACATTGTTCATTGGAATTAATATGGACAGAATTAAGTAATAAATTTCTCATACAATGACAACACACCTAACCTTCTCTGCAATAATAAAAAGACTTCTATTAATTTAAACAAAAACTTGATCAGGAATAACTAATGAAAATAATGAGTATTTGTTAGGGTAGGTGCTCATTCGATATTCCCAACATGCACGGTGGTTGTTGAAAGTTACTGATTTATTTGGCTTACATTGATTGTTTGTAAATGTATCTTAGGATAATCAGCATCAATCAATATATCCAACACTTGTGAATAGTAAAAATTTAATAGCAAAGTTATAAACTAAAACCGATAGTTAAATAGGAGCGAAGCACTACAGGAATTCTGAGAATAATAGAAAAATAAAATAATACAAATAGAATACAGTAATAGATGCAGTCATTTTTTTGTTAGATTCTTGGAACGATTATCTTGGCCACCCAAAGAAAGTAAACTAGGTCTTTACTTGTACCATGCATACATACCATTGCCTTTCTAAGTTAAAGTTGCAATCACAGACACATGCTTCATTCATAAAATAGAGGTATAACCACATAAATATCATTACATAGCATTAAATGTTGTCAATTATCACAAAGACTCACCAAAGTAGTAACGGTTTTTATGTAGTTATATCTTTATTTTATGTATGACGTGCTTGGAGGAGAATTCACTCATAGGTTGATAGAAATGAGTGTGTCGATTCTAACATGAATGCAATCATAAAGATTTTATGAACGACATATGTTCAACCAATAACAATACATGCAAACACTAATTACCAAATAACAAACACAAGCACAAACATAGCCATGGCCACAAACCAATTAACTGGATTCACTAAGAAATTCAGTACTTATTATTATGGCATTTTAAATTTACCTAGATCTTCTGTAGAAGTAGACACATCTTTGTTATTAGTATTCTTGCTAACATCAACATTCTTTCCACTTGTGGAAGCTTTCCGTAACATAGACTGCAACAGCTTCTTCTCTGTACCAGATAATAACAATGAATAAGAAGCAAGATTTGGAGGCATAAATAAAACTATAGAAGACTACATTCACATTAGTGGAGGGATTAAGAGACCAGTCAATAATTTCACAACCCGCCTTGTTGGCATGGCAATCAGGGGCCTTCGCTACATGCAACTCCCAGCATTCTTAGCTTGTGTTCATTTTCAATTAACATAACAAAAAACAAAGGTTCTGAAACTTAACAAACCTCAATGGAATAATTTTTTTTTATGTAAAGAAATGATCACTTCATTCAAAGGGAGGATTGGGAGATACAGTCTGGTAATATTTGAACCTCCTCAATCTCGCCAATGATTATAGAGCTAGTGGTGTGGTGTGGAGGGACTTCACACACTCAAGCAGTAAAATAACCGTGCTAAGAACAGTAGCTTGATTACGCTCTTATTAGCTTAAATTGGTGACAAGGGCACTAGAAAGGCTAGACCATAAAAATTAAAGAGGCACGCCAGTAGCAATTTGTTCTCTCTGAGAAAAGTCACTAAAGGTAGAATTCTACATTGAAAAGTCGGTCATGAGCAATAGCAAACCTAGAGAGGTTCTACTATACAGAGAAGTATTCTTAAAATTAAACAAAAGGGCTTTCATATCAGAGGACTCTACCCTCACAACTTTTCAACTTTCTGTCTTTTTTATAAATAAATATAATATACCCCTTAATCAGAAATAGTGTAATAAAATTCCATTGTAGATCATATAAGCCTTACCTTCCTGAAGAGCATTGATAGTTGACTGCAAATCCGAACGATCCTTTTCTAGGCTAGACAGTTTTTTCCTGCACAGATTGATTTAGGATAGTCATTTTCAGAGACATTGGTAATAAGTCTAAAACTGAAAGTGTACAACATTCTTTAGGATAGTCATTTAGGATATGCATCTACCACATTCACAACTCTAATTTTTCACATTCAGTAACACTCAAAAATTTCAGATTTTTTTTCCAAAACAAATATAACATTTTCCATACAAGAGACAGGGGAGTGATAAAAAAATAATACAAGTGATTCAGAATATGTTCACAAATTTTTATTTTACTGCAAATGTAAAAGGATAACTTACTTGTATGAAGAGATTTCAGCTTGTGTTTTCTCCAATTGCCTTTCCAACTTTAGCTCACTGGACCTTAATCTCAGTGCCTGGGAAAATTAATATAGCAATTTGAATATATTTTTTAAAGCAGCAGCATCAAACATGAGCAATTTTGTACCTAACCCATATCACTATGTGTACATACACACATACATGCATATACACAAAAGCTCGGACAAACTTTTATGTCGGCCAAAAGTGCAAACATAACTCGTTTCATAGGTCACATCCAAGGAAAACATATGACCAAAGTTTCTGCCTACCACCTCCACTACAATTTGCCATTCCCTCATGTCCCCTTCTTAGCACAAAAGAGTAACATAAAATAAAAAATGTTTTGTCCCCATAGAATTACAAAGTTGTTTCTACAAAGCAGTGCCTAAAACCCAAACATACCAAGAAAAATCACTACCTTCTCCTCTAATCCGATAACTTCGGATGCCAAAAGCTTGGCGCGTTCATCGGCTGCATTACATTCTAGATGTGCATTTGCATATTCATTTCTGACAGCATCAAGTTCCACCTATTGACATCAAGAAAAATTGAAATTAATGAAAACATAAACTAGATAAAGAAGAATGTGCAATACTCAAAATATAATTAGACATGGAAACATTAAAGAGTGACTAGATCTTATACATCAACAAATGCTCAATCATAGCAAAACCCTAAGAGTTTATTATCTGAGTGTAAACACACATGACAGCCTCATACAAGCTAAAAGGTACATCCTTCATTCTAATATTTTTTTTATAGTTCAAAAAAGTATTTCACCCACTAAGGATATCATTACAATACAAGGGATGGGGAAGACTGGATTGTTTATAGATGGTGGACGGTTCAGACTTAAGAGTATTTTTTCCATAAAACATAAATGACATCCTCAAGTCACAACCATCCTTGGCATTGTAATAATTTCCTACTGCGCCTTTCTAGGCACTCTCTCTAGGCATCAAATCTAAAAATTATTCCCACATTTTCCAAAGTACCATTAGTCCTAAAATACACATCCACACAATCAAATATCTAAACTATAAACTATAGTGTAAATATACACTGCATTTGTGTCTCAAACCAGCCAAACTAGATTTTCATTCATCCACAAAAGGTCATTAGAATATAATACAGAAATACAGAAATACAGAAATTCTTGAGAATGCACATATGCATGTTGGAGTGGATGCACAAACATGTCTTTGTGCAGAATGTGAAACATATGGAAGCACACACACATATTAAATATCTAATATATATGTATAGTCCCTTGAGATATAAATGAGTTCCGAAATGATCGGTGGAAAGGTGATAAATGGACTCTAACCAGCTGGGCCTTGATTTCCTCCTGTATATTTTCCAAGTCAGATTTTAGCTGGTCAACAACGCTTCTCTGTAGAAAAAGCAAATAGAAAACACTTAGGATGAATTCATGGCAGTATGAATGACCTTTTTAGGGAGATATAGATGGCAGCATCACTATACAGTGATGTTAGCATAGCTGTCTTCTTGCTAGGATACTAAAGGAGAACAGAAAGTAATGCAAAGATGTCAGGCATGCTTAATTCATAAATTCATAATGCATCAACACACTAAATGTTACATAAATGTAATGATGCAATATCACATTACACAGGTACACCTGTTGGTTATAACTCTCCGTCAAAGAAGAATTTTCAGCAGCCAAGGACTCTGCTAAAGCACGAGAAGCATCAAGTGCTCGTTGCAAAGAGAACTTTTCTTGTGTCAAATCTTCAATATGCTGCATAACAACAAGATAAATACAAAAAAGCCATCAACAATAGAATTCTTCCAAAGCAACATGCTCAGAAGAGTGACATCACAGTTTACATAACTGTACACAATTTTCATTAGTTTTTTTCAATTTGGAAGTATACAACCTAAGATCTATGAGAAAATCGAAAATAAAACTTAGTTATTATTAGATGTACTAAACAAACTTAGCATGTAATTGTTAGTCAATCATTCCTAGGAAAAAGGAAACTGCATACACGTTGGCTTATTATATGTATTTTTCTCTGCTATGCTAAAGTTAATTATTGTACTCAAAGAAGGAAGGCAACTTTTGAGATTAAAACTAGGAGCACGCGCTATACCAGTGATGCACTGTATATGATGAGGACATCTTTGTCAAACCCATTAGGGTTTACAAACGAAAGAGATGGAAGAGGGAATTATTAATTAGTTTCCTAATTTATTTGTTAGTTCCTAGGTTCTCTAAGTTTTCCAGATTTCATTAGGATTTTTAGTTTTTCCATATTTCAGTTGGATTTCTAAGTTTCCTATTTTATTTGGAGTAGGATTTCTTTCCTAGAATAGGTTTAATTTTCCTTTTCACTCTAGGGTTAGATTATTATATATACCCCTTCTATGTAATTCATTACGGAGTTGAGTTGTTAAGATATAAAGAAAATTATATTTTCCAGAGATTGGAGACTACTTGGTGTGAAGCCAAACCCCTGGAGTGATTCCAGACCTATCCTTGTTCGTTCTATCTTCTGTTTTCCATTGTTTTCACTTCCGCTAAACTACCTAAATTCTCAATTCACCTATATCCTACATCAGTATATTCTCAGATGCACTTGAAAACACAGGTATTTCCATTCTTCAATACAATGTATCCTTAGTATTTCCATGTTGGATACTTTGTTATCATCAACATCTCTTCATTATAACTCTAGCCATCCTCTCACTAACCCCTCAAAAGTCACAGCTACGAAATCAATTGTGATGATGATCTTAGTAATGAACCTATATTTCCATCCAAAAGGAAGCTCCGAAAATCAAAATGCAACTCAATGGACTACTTGTGTCACCCTTCACGTGTATTGAACAAAGGACCTCAATATTTAATTGATTAAGGAATTTTCGAAGCTAAAATTACTAAATATATGCAAAAGAAATATCACCAGTGGGCGTATGTGTAATCATTCCCCATCAGAAAATTAGGGGCAAATGGTACCTGTTCCAGAGCAGAAAAATCTTCATTCTGATTAGGAGAATAAAATTCATGTTTTCTCTCCACGCTATTCCCCTCAATTATTGGCCTCTGCTGGTCCATTCCAGCATTAGGAGGAAATAAAGACTTCACAGAATTCTCAAATGCATGAGGTGCACCAGTTTCAAACTTTGAAAAGGATCTCACAGTATCATCATCCATAGATGGCTTACGAAAAGGCGACGAACCTAGAAAACTCATGCCATTTGATTTATAACTGTTGGACATAAGTGATTCCTCAGGTTCACTGTGTTGAAAAACAGTCCCTGAAGAAGCTTTAGACACATTAATAGAATCCAGGAAAGATGAGCGAGATCTCCTAGAATTAGTTTCAGGTGTAACTGAATATAGTGATGAACTTCTGGCATCAGATTCAAAACCCATGGATTCAGATGTCTGCACTGCTGTACTCTGCAAATTATGAAACCCACTAGCAGAGCTAGTAAGCTTTCCTTCTCCAAATCTGAAAGTTATAGGATCACTTAAGTCCACACTACTACCATGCATGTTTTTCCCAACTTCATCAGCAAACCCTCTTAAGCTGGTACCGGGCTCAGCCAAGCCTGCCATGAGGTCCCAAAACATAATTACAGTGAGCATCTTCCTTGGGAAGAGAAGATTCAAAGAAATTGCATAAGCCTACACTGTGATCATTAGATCAAAACACAGGAAATCAAAATCCAAAAACGTATAATTACCTTCATAAAGTGAAGATGGAGTAGGGCCACCAGACACTGTGCTGACATTACTGGCCTCACTTTGAAGCAATGCACTGACAGAGTTCTGAGGTGAGATTTTTGTAACAGAGGGATAAGAAGAACCAGAGTTACTTACAGAATCCATCAAAGATATATTATGTTCTTTGAACTGAAATTCATTCCTTCCATGATAACTGGAATGACTTGTATTGCTATCAAATTCTTGACGTGCTTGTGGTCGTAGAGCAATAGACTGATCAGATGTGGTCTCACCTGAGTTACCAGTATATTTTTCAAAATCATTATTCATCCCTTTTGTCCCATTGCTATGATTAACGTCTAGTGATCCAGCAAACCCAAAACCACCATAGCTCTTATATTGTTGATCACTTGCATGTTTATGCACTTGATCATTAAAATCATATGTTGAAGGACTACTGTGGGAATTATTCACGGGAGCTTGTTCCTTTTTTTGGGAAAAATCAACTGCTTTGTAATCATTGTTGGATGATACAGAAGAAGTTTCAGTATAAGCACCACTAGGTCCATCAGATGTACCAGCACCATCTGGGACTGTAACTCGTACAAGTTCAGTTTCTAGAGGTTGTTTCTCATTTGAGCTAACTTCAGGGGCATTGGTTTGGCTAGTGGATGAAGCCTTCTTAGCTCGCTCTGCTGCTTTTTTCTTACGGAACTCCTCCAACTGCAAGAGTGGGGAAAAAAACCAAATATATGTGAAATTCGACAAACAAATAATGAAATATTTGGTAAGTTACTGTATCAGAATTGACTAAAATTAGCTACATGCGTATTTATTAACAAAAAATACTGAACTACACAGACGAAAACTAAAATGTTGATCTGTTTATCACGAGCCTTTGTTGGTTAAACAATTCTTTGTAAAAGTATGGGTGATCGTGACGTTTGAAATTGATTATGCTCTTCTTTCTCTTTCTTTTTCTTACCATAAGGCATCAATACACGAACAATGCTTGCCACATAACTATGACAACCTAGTCCTATCTGCATTATCTTTTTCAAAATAACAAGTGGGGTAGGATGCAATCTCATCTGTTGTCCGTCTAATGTTTATTCGATGCAACAAAAATACTGCTAAATCATTTTGTTCCTGCTAGCTCAAAACAAGATGTAAAGGTTGAACATAGACACTCAAAAACATCAAGATTCAATATTTATCGCAGTTCCTGTACTGTCTCTAAGCATTATAAGCCAAACAAAACGATTTCCTGAACCCAAAAAAATGTGTTTTTAATCATAAGTCAATAGTAGGGAACACAATATCTTCACTATGACAGCAATCAAGTATAGATTCCGACCGTACAAGTGCAAACGAGACAATTGGATTAAAATTCAAAGCGAAGAGTCAATCATTTCACATTTCCAAATAAACAATTGCAGATGCATATATTCTACACAAACATGCAGACTTATGTAAAATTCCATTTGAACAATTTGAACGGAACTGGATAGTAATCGGATGGAAAAAATACCTTGCGCTTTCCCGCTTCCAAATCCTTTAGTTTTCGCGAGTTGGGCAATACTTGAGCTGAAGCCATTTAATCTCCAAAACTCACACAGTTTCAAACATATGAATGCACAATTCCCACCACCTCCCCGCAAACCCCTAACGAACGAAAACCCTACGAAACAAACAAAACAAAACCCTACAAAACCACAGAGATACCCGGATCAAGGAATTGAGCAATGACGCGCAATTAAAATTCAATCAACGGTCGGTTTCAATTTCGAATTCAAAACGTAAAAATCGAATCTTCGTAGAGAGATCAGAAAATATGTATAAAGCCCTAATTTCTGTAGGGACAAAGAGCCCGATCTGATCGGAGAGATGGAGAGCTCTGTGAAATTCTTTGGTTCTGGCAGATCTCCCCCTTTGCTCTCTCCCCTCTCCCTCGCCTCCTTTCTCTCTTTTTTTTTTTTTTTTTTTTTTTTTCTGTGCGTTTTGTTTTCTCAATTTACTTTTTTTTTTAAATTTTTGCGTGGATGATGATATTACGTGGCGGTAATAAGGGATTTTCAATTTGGGCTTTTTGTCGGTTTTTCTTATTCGTTTAATTATTTATTTGTTTTTTGGTGTGTCTTGTTGGGGTGGCGTCGAAGAGATGATTGATTATGGCTACGTAATGAATTTGAATTGGCGACCAGAAGGCCTTTTCGGATTGTGATTTGTGACAATGCTATTAAATTGTTGGTAACGTACCTATGAATTGTATACCAAATTTTGGACTTTGTTACAAAGTAATTGATTTCTAAGTGTTATAGCGTAAGGTCCAAATTTATGAATTTATCTTAAGAAATTTGACTCGAGATCTCGATTAACAGTAAGATCCTTGTAGCTCAAGTGGCAGTTACCCTTACAACTAAGAACATGTGTTCGAATCCGCCACCTCTCATTATCACTTATGTCACACAACAAAACAAAACAAAAAGTTGATATTACAAATAAACCAAACATTCTTATCATTTATTTGACTGCGATATAGAAACCTTCGGCTAGTGTACACATACTTCGTAATTTTCTGATTTTTTTTTTATAAGAAAAAAAAAATTACAACCCAAACCCTTTTGGGCAGGCAGGTCCAAAGAGATCGAAATAAAAGCATTTACTAGATAAAGGGGAGCTCAAATTGAAAACAAAGGAATTCATAGAGCATACAAAATATATATATGACTTGGTAGGTTTCAGACTTGATCAGGGACACGAGATTTCCTCAGGCGTGTCATATGGGCCAGCAATTTTTGGTAGTCAGGAAGGTTGTCTTTGATCACAGGAACTTGCTTGAAATTCTGAACCCATGCACGCAGCCGAGGCAAAGTGCTTGCCTCCAGAACCTTGACACCAACCATTTCTTCAGTGGCCTCAAACCAGTGAGGCAACCAACCATGTGTTATGTCTACCAAGTTTATAGTTTCACCCCCAAAAAACTTCTTGTCTCCGAGGCCCTGCTCTTCCAATATTTTCAGGTTTTCCAAAACGGCTTGTATTGTCTTTTCTCGCTCTTCCCCGGCAGTTAATTTGAAGAATGGACCAAAAATGGGAGGCTGATAAATAAATTCAAAGTATATAAGTACTTGTATTGATTTTGTAATGCAAATTGAATAAGTAAACTAATCCTATATAGCTATTTGATCTGGTCTCGTAGCAGACAGACTTATTTATCAAATTATATATGTTCATCAAATGATGTGTTAGTATTTCATTTATATATTCAACTATAAAACTCACTTTAAACCTCGTTTAATATTTAAAAGTAAAAAACCGACATCATTTGGTGAGCAAATTTAATGCTCTATCCCTTGTTTTATAAGTCCGCTTTACTTACGACCTAGCTTTTTACCATACATGTGTGTGTGACTCACAATGATCCAATGTTACATTTATAATGAGACCTATTGTTATATTGATGTATTTGACACCAGGTCTTGGACCTCACTATTTTCAGGTCCAATGGCAGAGTCCCCGCCCTCAAGGAACTCAGTCTCTTTTGTCCCTTTGCCATAACATTTTCATTACGAACTACATAGACAGAAAAGGGGCTCTCTCTCTCTCTCTCTCTCTCTCATTTTCTTCTTCCTCTGTAACACACCTCTTTCCTGAAACCCCTTTTGGTTTCAGGGCTTCCTTGGAACTACTCCTTCGGCTAATACACTGGACATCTCTCTCCCCCGTCAAGTTGTATAGAGTCCCCCCTCCTCCCCCCAAAAAGTTTTTACTGAGCTTTTGATTTTCTTGCCTCAGGCAAGTTTTGTCTCACCCCTAGGTTTTTAGGGGCTTTTTATTAGACCCCATTCAACCTTGATCCAATGTACAGAGAATATACTATTTTTATTACTCAAAACACAATAAAATTCAACATACATACAATACTAACTAAACTCCTAATATAGTCAGTTAATTGCTAATACAAAAGACTGAAACACCTTTAGCATCCTATCACTTCTTCTCAGCCTTTTTGGCTGATCTTGGCTAGATCTTAAGCAATTTCCCACTTTTGGCCCCCTGATGGTTGTGTTCTTGATTTTTTGGGCTCTGGGTGTAGATCTCCTTTGATCTATCTTCTGTGGAGGTGGAGTTGAAGCATCTGGTGGGATCTACTATCTTATGGTGTTGTGGGATCGTGTGTGATGCTGGTGATGCCGTGACTTTTATTTAAAGGTCAAGGCGGAATTTGAGCGAAATCAACAGATATCAATATAAAAATTAAATCCGAAAGTTGCTCATATGCTTGTTAACAAACTGAAAATTAAATTATTGACCAAAAGAAAAGACTCAACATAAAAAAATTGAAAACCGTCTGAGTAGCATATGCAAGAGTCTAACTCGATCAACATAATAGATTTCAACCCAGTAGACTGTCTCAAAAATTGAACTATAACAAACAGAAAGAAAAAAAAAAAGCAGGTGATACAAAAAGTGATGAAATGAAAATGGAAACTACGCACCTGATACACATAAAATTGGATCCAAAACCGCGCGGAGGCTCTTTCGTGAGCATCTTGAGGCAGCAGACGATAATTCCCCGGCCAAGTTTCTTCGATGTATTCAAGGATGACAGTGGACTCAGCAATCGGTTTGCCGCGATGAACAAGCACCGGGACCTTCTTGTGAACTGGGTTGAGCTGCAAAAGCAATTCACTCTTGTTTGAAAGGTCTTCTTCTATGTACTCATATTTCACACCCTTGAGCTTTAGAGCCCATATCACTCTGTAAACATATGGGCTTGGCCAAAACCCTATTAGCTTCACTTCTTCTTCCATTGTTGACGTGTTGAGGTCAAGACAGGAGGATCATAGCAGTCTAAATTTTGGTTGCTGATATAATACTCTCTGAATTTTGACTTAGCTTGAGTGGTAAATTGTAAGTAAGACAAAATGAAATGTTAGTCCTGCAGCTGCTTGGAAAATGCATGAAAAGTGACATGCCCCGCCCTTCTTAGTTTATTCTTTTATGCAGCTCTCTTTTTTTCTCTCTCCTTTTCTATCTTTTTTCAAAGTTTTACATCCACCGAATGGACCTTATCCCTTTTTTTTCTTTTTTTTTTGGGCAAATGGTCATTTTGCCTCTCTTTCTCGTTCTTCATTGCTCGCTGATTACGTTACAAGAAAATTCTTCTCCAATTTTATTTTATTTTGAAAAAATGTGATTCCTAACCCTCACGAGTTGGCCCAGTGGTAAGAGCGTTTCCCAGGCCCTATGTAAACGGGAGATCCTGGGTTCGATTCCTGCCGTTGGTGAATCAAGTGATGAGGGCCAGGGACGGGGTGAAATTCCCTATAGCCTCTCCAGGTCCCGGAAGGGGTGGATGGCCGTGGCTTGCCACCAGCTGTCCCCCTTTTTAAAAAAGAAAAAAGAAAAAAAAAGAAAAAAAGAAAAAGAAAAAATGTGATTCCTATGGAGCATGTATATGTCACTATGTGGAATTTACACAAAGCTAGATAGTCCTGACTTTGAATATCTGTGTGTGACTTGGAAAGGGTAGAAAAAGAAAAGTTATTTACATTAATGCCCTTTAAGATTTTAGGTATTTTCACAAAATTTTAGTAGGTTTTGAAAATTACACTAGGATTTCCTGAGGTTTCAAATTATTTTTACAAAGCCCTTTTGTTATTTTTTCCCAAAATTGCTAATGGCATAAAAAAATTTCTTCAAAAAACAAAAGTAATAACTTCAATACCTTTTTTTTCCCCTCTTGTTTGGGCTCGCTCTCTAGCTAGCGAGGAAAGCCATGCTATATATTAGGGTTAGGTTCTCTTTTGCGCTTTACCGTCACTGTCGTGCTGATCTTGGAAGTGTTGGCCTCGCCTCTGTCTCTCTCTGTTCTCGAGCAATAGCTTTTCCTTTGCTCATCGTCTTTCCCTTTTGGTTTAGAGGTGATCATGTTTTGTCGATTTGGGGTTCACGACTAGGGCTTCGTGCCCTAGCATCGTCATTGTGGTCGCTGTTTACGGCTAGGGCTCTTTGCCCTAACATTGTCACTAAATCCACTGGATTGCCCTTGGGTCTTTGTTGGGTCTTATTTGCCTTAGTGTCGCTGCTATTTTGTTTAACGCAGCTCCATCTTCACCCTCTCGGTTGAATCTCGGATTTTGTGTGGTTGTGTGGTCGTGTGGGTTTGCAGCCTTCGTGATGGCTTAGTGGTGAGGGTTGCGATAAGGAAGTTTTGCGAGGTGCTGGTGGTGCACCCACGGAGTTTACAGGCAGTTAGCTTCTAGGCTTTTCTTGGGTAGTATGGATTAGGTGCATTCTAGGATCCTCGGTGTTAAGCACGATTTTTTACGGATAGGGTTGTTGGTTGCAATCTCTGTACCCATCTCTCTGGGGTTTTTTTTTTTTTTTTTTTGGTGGTGGGGATCCGGGTGGTGATAGAGCCCTTACTGTTTTTGAGCAATATTTCGGGCAACACCCTGTGCTCATGGATTCACCTAGTGCGTATAGAATTTGCATTGACAAATTTGATGATAAGGCTTGTAGTTGTGATTTGTTTGTTTGTTTCTCTCGAGTTCTTTGTAGCGGTCCAAAGTGGCATGTGTCGGATTCTCTTGTGACATATGTGGTACTCTTTTCTACCCTGGGGTTTGTCCCATGTGTTTTTCTAGGAAGGTTTTAACGAAGCCAATGTATTTGTGCCGATCTTTGTATACCATTTTGGTTTATGAATGAAATCTTACTCTCAAAAAACTTCAATACCTTAATCTTTGTCATTTGAAGAAATGTTTTCTATGACATCAATCGTTTTTAACGGAAAATTACTGAAGGGGTTTTGTGAAAACAATTTCAAACCACAAGAGGTGTTAGTGTAAACTTTGAAACCATAAGGCCCCGTTTGGTTCTTGGGAAAATGGGTCTTTGGGATGGGAAATAATTTGCTTTCCCATGTTTGGTAAGTCTAGGCATAGGAAATCGTTGTCTTGCACATGGGAAAGTAGGGGGGAAAGTAAAGCCCTCATTGTCTCTTGGGTTTTGTTTTCCTCCTTATGGAAAAGTTCGGGAAAATGAGCCAACATAAAATACATATTCTTTTATGACCATATTATCCCCATTAACAATTTAGAATTACAATATAGCATTAAATGCATTTTTTAATTCGATTTCATATGAGTATAATTAGAAACTTTGTTTGTCCGTCGCAAATCTCGCGGCCTGGTGCTCCAGACCGAGGGGATGAACGTCAACACGTGACGTCCTTCTTTTGGATGAGGTGCGGTTATGCGGGGGCGTGCCAGCACGGTTTACCGTGCGTCGAGATGATGATGAGGTTCGGGTAGAAGATGGTTTAAATGTTGCACCTATTTTGCGTTCGACTCCTAATCAAACGATTGTGGCCGAGTGAGGAACGAATCTCGGCCGTTAGGTTCACGGCCTGAGCCACAAGGGTGTTTAGTGGTGGTGTTGGTGGCGGGTTTTAGGTGGTGCTCCGGCGCGTTGCTCAGAGAGCGATGGTCGTATGGTATATAGGGTGAGTGAGGCGATAACAGAGATGGTGCTCCGGCGCCTTGAAAATCAAGGGTCGTATGATATATTGATGGATATATTTTTCTTACAGTCTACCACTACTCCTAAGAAAGCAAATAAAGGTATTGAAATTGCATTACAGAAAAATATAATTTGCTCCATGAGAGGCTTTTGGTTTTGGTGTTTGAACCCTTTGAACGTAGTCCTGAGCTTAGTATTTATAGGAGTCCTGGAGGGACATTCAAGGCTGACAAGACCTACGTGGTGGAGCCTGACCGGGGCAATTGGGTAGTCAAATCGGCATTTGAGATCGTGAAATATGGTGGTCTGGGGTTGAGAAGCATGGTGGTGTAACCCTCATAAATCTCGGCAAATCTCGGCCACCGCTTTTATCGTGGATTCTGCCCCTTTGGCCGTGGGAACGCATTTAATACCCTGGACTGGTGGTTGATGATCTGACCCTAAGTCGTAAGATTACTTGTGAGAATGTCTGCGCCTAACCACCCTGATTCCCATCACCAAATCCTGACTTCAGTCACTTCCCTCGTGCATTGAATGCTTCTTGTGACTAGTGGGTTTTGCTGCGAAGTCAGAGGCATTACTTCATTAAATGAAGCGTGGGGCCCTGAGGCCACATGGCGATTCAACCACAGCTTTTTCAGACCGTGTCTTTTGCGGCCTTCGGCCTCGGTCTTCAAAACTGCGGTCGCGAGGCCGAGGGGATTCTCCCTTTGCAGCTTTTCTTTTGCTCTTAGGAGGGCGAAATGCTTGACGAAACGCTAGGCGCCAGGGCCGAAGGGAAATCCCTTCAATCAGTTTATGACCGTATTTTATTAGGCACAAACAAACTTAAACAAACTTTATTTTACATTTCTACACAAACCAAACACGTGAAAGGAAATAAAGTATTATTTCTTGATTACTTTTCCAGGACTACCAAACATAGGAAATAAATCTTCATTTCTCATCCATTGGGAAATGACATGGGAAGTGATTTCCCCTTAAATCCATTTCGTGAACCAAATGGGGCCTAAGTATAACTGTAGAATTACCATTTAAGTTCCATGATTCCAATTTCTTTTTTATTTCCCTATCTAAATAGAATTACCATCTAGGAACTGGCTTAAAATTTCTTTTTTACTCAAAGGGGCTTGTAGTTCAAGTGGTTAAAAGTCTTCCCCCAATATCGATTGTGTAAAATAAATATAAGAAATTCGTTTTTATTCCAAGGGCACTACTCCCTTTTGAAATAGAATAATTTGGTACATGAAGTTGAAATTGGATATATAAAATAAGCACACAATAATATTATACACATAAAATATATGTGAGCCATGACCCTACGCAAAAAGCTATAGCCCATATGACTACTGGGCAGTGCTTTTGGCCAAGACAAACTTCTCTCTTTTATGTTTCACATAGTCAAGCAGTCTTCCATGATCAGGCAGGTTCTCTTTGATCACAGGCGCTTGCTTAAAATTCTGAGCCCATGTATGCAAGCGAGGCAGAGTGCCTGGTTCTATCACTCTTTTCCCTACCGCTTCTTCCACGCATTCAAACCAGTAACTCAGAGCTCCACAGGCAATGTCCACCAGACCAATAGTGTCGCCGCCGAAGAATATTTTGTCTCCAAGGACTTGTTCTTCCAAAATTTTTAGAACTTCTTGCAACTCTTTTGTTGCCTTTTCTTGTTCTTCGTCTCCAACAGCTCGAAAATATGCACTAAGGCTGGGCCCTATCTGGAAAGGAGAGCAAAAAAATAAGAGATCGATGTCAATATGTTTTCAAATTCAGAATCTCCTACACGTAAAATGTAATTAATTACCTTCTCTACTAAAAATTGTATCCAAAATCGAGCAAGGGCTTTTTCATGAGGATCTTTTGGAAGCAATGGCTTCTCTGGCCATGTTTCTTCGATGTATTCGAGGATGATGAGGGACTCAGCAATCGTCTTGCCGCCATGGACAAGCACTGGCACCTTCTTGTAAACTGGGTTGGACTGCAAGAGCAACTGGCTCTTGTTTGAAAGGTCTTCTTCTATGTACTCATAGCTCACACCCTTGAGCTTTAGAGCCCATATCACCCTGTGAACAAAAAAGCTTGGCCAAAATCCCAGCAGCTTCACTTCTGCCATCGTGTTGTGGTGAGAGGTTTGAAACAAATGGATTTAGAGTCTCTCGTCTCTTGGTGCCAGATAAATTCAGTTATATAGAAATATGTCGCAATCTCCTACGCTTGGGCGATAAGTTTCAAAGTTGAAAATGGAATAAACAAAATGAAATGTTAGTCCTGCAGCTGCTTGGAAAATGCATGAAAAGTAACATGCGCCGCCCTTCTTAGTTTATTCTTTTATGCATCTCTTTTTTTCTCTCTCCTTTTTCTATCTTTTTTTAAAGTTTTACATCCACCGAATGGACCTTATCCGTGTTTTTTTGTGTGGGCAAATGGTCATTTTGCCTATCTTTCACTTTCTCGTTCTTCATTGCTCGCTGACCACGTTACAAGAAAATTCTTCTCTAATAGATGTTGACAGAAACCACTTGTTTCAAATAGGACAAAACCAAGCCCTTCAAATTTCAAACCTCCCAATTTTATTTTATTTTGAAAAAATGTGATTCCTATGGAGCAGGTACATGTCACTATGCGGAATTTACACAAAGCACTCAGTCCTGACTTTGAATATCTGTGTGTGACTTGGAAAGAGTAGAAAAAGAAAAGTTATTTACATTAATGCCCTTTAAGATTTTTGGTATTTTCACAAAATTTTAGTAGGTTTTGAAAATTACACTAGGATTTCTTGAGGTTTCAAATTAGTTTTACAAAGCCCTTTTGTTATTTTTCCCTCCAAAATTGCTATTGGCATAATAAAATAAAATAAAAAGTTACTGTAATTTCCACCCGCCTGTCCTATTTCCCCACCCACCTTATTTTCAAAATTTTATAGACAAATTTGTCCATTTGTAAAATGACTTCTAAAGACTATCTAATTTTTGAACATATGTTCAATAACTAAAAAAATAAAAATAAAAACTAAAAACCCCACAGCCACCAAATCTCCCTCACCCACCTCTCCATTTGTAAATCTCTTTCTCTCTCTCTCTCTTCACCCTACTATCTGTCTTATCTTCCCCACGCACCCATTCACCCTCCCCCTCCTCCTTTTTTCTCCTTATTTCTCTCATCCCTCCTCTTGACAGCCACTCCTATGAATGAATTAATTCTTTATTTTTCTTTCGTTTGTTATTTGGTATGGTTTTAGGTTGAATAGCTCAAAAGGGTTATTGAGTTTTGGATTGGCAGGGGGTTAAAGGCTAGCATGCTTTCAATGAAAGCAAGGGCATGCTGTAGGGACTTGGGACTAAAGGGTGTCTTTTGGGATTTATTTAGAATTGTTATTGAAGAAGAATAAGAAGAGGTTGCTGGGTTTGTTTGGGTTTTGGGTGAATTAATAAGGAAATGGTATTTTAGGAATAAAGACGGGTGGAAAAATAGAATTGTTTTTTTTTTTTTCCAAATGTATATGGTGGATGGGAAGATAAGATGGGTGAGAAAATAGGATAAGGAGGTGGAAATAGCAACACTCAAAAAAAATTTCTTCAAATAAGAAAAGTAATAACTTCAATACCTTTTTTTTTTCTTCTTGTTTGGGCTCGCTCTTTAGCTAGCGAGGAGAGCCATGCTACATATTAGGGTTAGGTTCTCTTTTGCGCTCTACCGTCGCTGTCGCGTTGATCTTGGAAGTGTTGGCCTCGCTTTTGTCTCTCTCTCTCTCTCTCTCTGTGTTCCCGAACGATATCTTTTCCTTTGCTCGTCATCTTTCCCTCTTGGTTTAGAGGTGATCATGTTTTGTCGATTTAGGGTTCACGGCTAGGGCTTCGTGCCCTAGCGTCATCACTGTGGTCGCTATTCACAGCTAGGGCTCTTCGTCCTAACATCGTCACTTCATCCGCTGGATTGCCCTTGGGTATATTGTTGGGTCTTATTTGCCTTAATGTCGCTGCTATTTCGTTTAACGCGGCTCCATCTCCACCCTCTCGATTGAATCTCGGCTTTTGTGTGGTTGTGTGGTCGTGTGGGTTTGCAGCCTTCGTGATGGCTTGGTGGTAAAGGTTGCGATAAAGAAGTTTTTGTGAGGTGCTGGTGGTGCACGCTCAGAGTTTACAGGTGGTTAGCTTCTAGGCTTTTCTTGGGTAGTATGGATCTGGTGCGTTCTAGGATCCTCGGTGTTAGGCACGGTTTTTTGCGGATAGGGTTGTTGGTTGCAATCTCGGTACCCATCTCTTTGGGTTTATTTATTTATTTTTGTGGTGGGGATTTGGGATTCGGGTGGTGATAGAGCCTTTACTATTTTTGAGCAATATTTCGAGCAACACCCTATGCTCATGGATTCTCCTAGTGCGTATAGAATTTGCATCGACGAGTTTGATGATAAGGCTTGGAGTTGTGATTTGTTTGTTTGTTTCTTTCGAGTTCTTTATAGCGGTCCAAAGTGGCATGTGTTGAATTCTCTTGTGATATGTGTGTACTCTTTTCTACCCTGGGGTTTGTCCCATGTGGTTTTCCTAGGTAGGTTTTAACGAAGCCAATGTATTTGTGCCGATCTTTGTATACCTTTGGTTTATGAATGAAATCTTATTCTCAAAACACTTCAATACCTTAATCTTTGAGGTAAAACATTGTCATTTGAAGAAATTTTTTTTATGACATCAATCGTTTTTAACGGAAAATTACTGAGAGGGGTTTTGTGAAAACAATTTCAAACCACATGAGGTGTTAGTGTAAACTTTGAAGCCATAAGGCCTCGTTTGGTTCTTGGGAAAGGGGGCTTATGGATGGGAAATCATTTACTTTCCCATGTTTGGTAAGTCCAGACATGGGACATCGTTGTCTTGCACATGGGAAAGTATGGGGGAAAGTAAAGCCCTCCTTCTCTCTTGGGTTTTATTTTCCTCGTCATGGGAAAGTTTGGGAAAATGAACCAACATAAAATACACATTTTTTTATGACCATATTATCCCCATTAACAATTTAGAATTACAATATAACATTAAATGCATTTTTTTTTAAATTTGATTTCATATGAGTATTGTGGTAACCAAATTAAATCAAAACCCTAGGTCAAATAATTCATTCCATTTGGGGATTATCTGACCTAATTGGGAATTAATTAACATGATTGGGAGTTACTCAATTTAATTGGGGATTACCCAATTAAATTGAACGTTGCCTAATTGGGTTAATAATTGATTTGGTTAATTACCACGATTCCCAATTAAATGAGGAGTTACCTAATTGAATTAGGATTTGATTTGATACCTACCACAATTAGGGATTTGATTTACCCTAATAAATCAAATCCCTAATTAATCAAATCAATTCCAAAAAGGGGAGGAATAATTCCCTTCCATCTACGGAATTATTCCTCTGAAACCCTAACCTCCAAGACCATTATAAAAGCTTAGCCACACACAAGGGTTGGGGTACGTCTAAATTCCTACTGAAACTCTGCAGAAATCATTTCTCACAAACCCTAGCCACCACTTTCTTTCTCTCCCTTACACAAGGCTCCGGCCACCACACACGGCTCCGGCCACCCGGTTTTCCTTGAAATACCTTACCTAACTTAGGCATCAGAGGGCCTTTGGCCAACACCCCCCGGGTGTGGTCCTTTTACTCCGATCTGTTTTGCAGAGAGAAAGAGAAGCGGAGAAGACGAAGGAATCTTTGATGAATATTCTCGTGGGGAAAATCATTCCCTCCAAGTATAATTGGAAACTTAAACAAACTTTGTTTTATATTCCTACACAAACCAAACATGTGAAAGGAAATAAAGTGGTATTTCTTAATTACTTTTCTAGGATTACGTACCAAATATGGGAAATGAATCTCCATTTCTCATCCCTTAGGAAATGACATGGAAAGTGATTTCCCCTCAAATCCGTTCCGTGAACCAAACGGGGCCTAAGTATAACTGTAGAATTACCATTTAAGTTCCATGATTCCAATTTCTTTTTGATTTCCCTATCTAAATAGAATTACCATCTAGAAACTGGCTTAAAATTTCTTTTTTACTCAAGAACAAGGAGCTTGTAATTCAAGTGGTTAAAAGTCTTCCCCCAATATCGATTGTGTAAAATAAATATAAGAAATTCATTTTTATTCCAAGGACACTACTCCCTTTTGAAACAGAATAATTTGGTACATGAAGTTGAAATTGGATAAAATAAGCACACAATAATATTATACACATAACATATATGAGCCATGACCCTATGCAAAAAGCTATAGCGAATATGACTACTGGGCAGTGCTTTTGGCCAAGACAAACTTCTCTCTTGTTTGTTTCACATAGTCAAGCAGTCTTCCATGATCAGGCAGGTTCTCTTTGATCACAGGCACTTGCTTAAAATTCTGAGCCCATGTATGCAAGCGAGGCAGAGTGCCTGGTTCTATCACTTTTTTCCCTACCGCTTCTTCCACGCATTCAAACCAGTAACTCAGAGCTCCACAGGCAATGTCCACCAGACCAATAGTGTCGCCGCCGAAGAATATTTTGTCTCCAAGGACTTGTTCTTCCAAGATTTTTAGAGCTTCATGCAACTCTTTTGTTGCCTTTTCTTGTTCTTCATCTCCAACAGCTCGAATATATGCACTAAGGCTGGGCCTTATCTGGAAAGGAGAACAAAAAAAGAAGAGATCGATGTCAATATGTTTTCAAATTCAGAATCTCCTACACGTAAAATGTAATTAATTACCTTCTCTACTCCAAATTGTATCCAAAATCGAGCAAGGGCTTTTTCATGAGGATCTTTTGGAAGCAATGGCTTCTCTGGCCATGTTTCTTCGATGTATTCGAGGATGATGAGGGACTCAGCAATCGTCTTGCCGCCATGGACAAGCACTGGCACCTTCTTGTAAACTGGGTTGGACTGCAAGAGCAACTGGCTCTTGTTTGAAAGGTCTTCTTCTATGTACTCATAGCTCACACCCTTGAGCTTTAGAGCCCATATCACTCTGTGAACAAAAAAGCTTGGCCAAAATCCCAGCAGCTTCACTTCTGCCATTGTGTTCTGGTGAGATGTTTGGAACAAATGGGTTTAGAGTCTCTCCTCTCTTGGTGCCAGATAAATTCAGTTATATAGAAATATGTCGCAATCTCCTATTCTTGGGCGATGAGTTTCAAAGTTGAAAATGGAATAAACAAACCAAAATGTTTAAAATGTCTTCATTTTGATGATATTAAATTATGTGCTCACCTGACCTTATAGCTTTTCATGAGTAGTTAATTAATCACCTTTGTGGGTCTTATCTCTGAACATTTCTAACTACTATCCATAACGTGTTATTATTATTTTTTTGGGTATTGACATTCAACAACCCAATTGGTAATGGGACAAGTTCAGAATTGTTTAAACTACCATACAAGGCTTCCTATTTTCAATGTGAACAAAATTACACCAAAAGTGAGATTTTAGGAATAATAGATTTCTGATGTAAATACGTGTTATTTATGAGTTTAGTGTTTGTTGACTTTTATTACAGGGAAAAAGCTTGGCTCCTTAAATTTGAGGAGCTCGTCCTTACAACCAATGTGATTTTGACACTTGTTAATTTTGTTAATATTATTTTTCATTTTTTGTTAAAATTTTCTCAATGTTGCTTGAATTTGGCAAGTGTCAAAACTCCATTGGTTTTAAGGAGGAGCTCATCCTCCTCAATTTTAAGAAGCCAGGCCATGCTCTTTATGACGTGCAAAATGTTGTGTTTTGTACAAAAAAATTACTTAAGGTGTGCAGTGTATGCGTGCAATATTCATGGCTATCAAAACTTGCAATCTTTTTGCCTGCTAAAAAGTTAAAGCCCAACCTAAAAGTTCCCATTCCTTTCAAAATTTCTTCTCTTCCAGGAAAGAAATACAGAATGGTGAGCTAGTAATTTCAAACAATCAAATCACTTGAATCATTTTATCAGGGCCTTCAAAACAATCGAACTTTTATTAAAACATGAGGAGGATGCAAGTTGATTTTTCGTTTCACATAACAAGCACCAGACCAAAGAAGAGATTGAATACTAAATTCTCATTCATTATTAATTCCAGGTATGGCATATATTATACTGTTGGTCGCTCCAGTTATACATGCATGGCCCATCTTCATATACAACCCAATGACATTTGCTACAAATTTTGTTATCTCTTTGGTCAACGTATATATCGAACCAATGAAATGCACCTGGCCATTCAAAACTGCAGAAGAATAATGTCGATGTGGTGAAGATATTAGGTTTAAAGCTGAATTCATATGAACCCTTAGGTTGGAGCACATGGAAGCCGAGATCATCGTCCTTGGATTTACAGTGAACGGTGAGGGTCAAGCCTCCCTCTAACTCACTTGTGACTCTCACATGCCTTGTCTTCACTGCACCACACTTGGGGGTCATGGTGAGCAAGAAAAGTGTCATGGTGATTAGCAGCGCCACTGAACTTCCATTGAAACAAGCCATATTCTAACTCCAGGTTGTTTGAAGAAATTAATTTTATCTTTGTGGAAAAAACATACGAGTGGCAATTTGCTAGTGCCCTGTCGGTGTATAGAGAGACGAGCAAAGAAAAGAACAGTAATAATGAATTTGTCTAATAGAAACGTAAAAGTGTATGTGGTTCTCACTTTATCGAATTATATATACAAATGAAATCCTCTCGTTACGTTTTTGGTAATTTATTATTTACAAATTTATAAATAAACCCAATCATAGACATGTATTTATAAAAAAACCCAAGCACTATTTAAACATAGAAACACACCCAAAATCAACCCCAAAGTCAACTTTTTGGGTGTGTTTATAAATGGGTTTTGAGTGTGTGTAATGATGGGTTTTGGGTGTGTTTATATGTTTAAATAGTGCTTGGGTTTTTTTATAATTTCAACCCTCATTTTGGGTGTTTTAGTGAAACCCCCTTTATTATTTCATAAAAGGAATTTTATTAATTTGAAGAATCTTTTATGGGTATGTAAGATCCAATCCAATCCAATCCGTCTAAATTGACTGATCCAATTCAATTTAATCCAGTTTTAATTAATTTCAATGATTAGGCGGATTGTATTAGATCTATATTTCCAAAATCAACATGATTGGATTGGATGACAGATTTACTTGTAAAAATGGCCAATCCAATTTAG